AGACAAATGATATGACTCTAAAAAAATAATATGATATGCATGAATCTTAAGTAATATTTTGAATGATATCTTTTAAAATTTAAAATAAGATCATATGAATTCTAAATTTGACATGGTTATAGTCAAATCGAGTGGCTCAATGAGAGGAATCCAACAAGCTCAAGATCACTCAATTTTGACATCATTGACGCTTCAAAGTTGAAAAAATACTTCATGGTCAATGGAATCAATATGAACTGTACGATATGATTAGAAGGTGGTTCGGCGGAAGTCTAGCGTCAGGCGGTGGTCTGGTGGAAGTCCAGCGTAAGGCGGTGGTCAGACAGAAGTCTGACGTCAGACGATGGTCCGATAGAAGTTCAACGTTAGGCGGTGGTCCGACAGAAGTTTGGCATCAGGTGGTGGTCTGGCGGAAGCCTGAGTGGTGGCGAGGAGGAGCTAGGTGGTAAGAGCGATCTCCGATCTCTCTTCTTGATTCCTTGCTTAGAGTGGCATGACTAGTAAATATGATGAAGATCAATGGTAAGTTGGGAGTGATTTGCATGGACGACCGATGTTGATTCCCTTGATCGTGGACCGTTCATTGGACATTTGATAGTCTTAGTGATTTCATAATTCAGTGATCTTGGGCTCATTGGATTTGTCTCGTCGCAGCTCGATTCGACCATAAGAATCTCACATTTGGTAATCCAAATTGTGATTTGAACTTTGAACCTTCCAATAACATTTCAGGTCCTTGATTTGGACCCATTTGGGCTCGTATTGAGTCCAATTTGATGTCGTTGGGTTCATATTTTCGAGACGTTCAGTTCGACTATACGTTTGCTGAAATTGGAGTCTGGCTGGTTTCAATTATAATTTCGGAACTTTCCAACTTGATTTTGCCTTGAGATTCGTATCCGATCAAGATAAATTACTGATAACAGATCAAGTATCTTTCTCAACTTTGCTCTATATTGAGCCAAATAAAATCAAATTTCATGAATCTTACTGATGACCCACAAGGATGGTTTTCCTTGCAGATTAAATTTACATATATACGTTAGAATATATTTATCAAATATTTTTAATATACGTAGCTTTTATATCATTATCAATTTTCAAACGCGAGTTATGTATTTTCCCTCGGCGAGGCGGACCCAACTCTGCTCGCCAGCTCTCTCGTCAGGCTCTTCCCTCTCTGAAAATTGTTCAATTCTCGTGACTCTCTCGCTTCCTCTATTCTCTCTCCTCTTTAAACCCTGACCTAGTCGGAGAGAGACGACAAATGAGAGAAGCCAAACATGGAAGCCGGCAGAAAAAAAGAGAAGGACGGCAAATAGGGTTTCCTCGCTACCCGCTTGACCTCCTGCTAATTGGTTCCGCTCAGAGGCCTTAGATTTGTTTACTGTTTAAGGCAATCAATCAATTCCACCTTTGTTCTGGTCTCAGATCTTGATCGGTTACATTTCCTAATTCTAGTTTCAAACTTTTTCACCTTCCAATACGTGCATTTTAGATGTTTTGAGTAAATCTGTTATCAAAGATCTGATCCTTCTACTCATTTCTGGTTTGAGTTGCTTTCTTTGTGGATAAGACTTCTCATGTGGCTGTTTGTTACAGCATCTAATAAAAAAAATGGTTTCTTTTTTGTTGCAGGAGTTTAGTTTCGTCTCGATCGAAAAAAGTCCCGTACCTGGCATCAAATAGCTGATAGTGTGAGGATGGAACAATCGCCCTTATTTTCTAGCAATGGCAATGCAACACCGTCTCATAGCTCTTCTACCGGCGTTGCAGGGGATGGATATGACAGTGATGGCTCATACTTTGTTCCTCCGTAGGTTTGCTATTCCTTTTAAAAAATTGCGAGAATTTATAAATTGTTAGATGTTAGAACTTCATTCTCTCATCATAGAAAATTATATCTGAACACATGCCGAAATAGAAAATCTTGAATATAGAGAAATTTCATTTGCTTGCCAATTGTGCTATATGTATTTTCAATCAATAAACCTCAAAGGAAATGAGGCTTTAGCTATGTGATTCATTTTGATTCTCTGCTTATTTTTTTTTTCTTGGATGAAATGCTTACTCCCCATAAAAAACATAAAAAGAAAAATAAGCTGAAGAAAATCTGATTAAGGTTTCATTCTTGCAAGCTTATGTTTTCTAGTACATTATGAATGCTAGCACATTTATTTTTACATGAAACCTTGGGTGTCTTGTAACTTCTGTTCATATGAAGTATTAAGTTTTTCTTTTTGAATTTCTTGTAGGAGTGGAGTACACTTCTATAACCCTATAATGATTTTAAAGCTTTTGCACTATGTATGCATATTTGTTTCGAAGAAGAAGTGTTGGAGCATGTAAAAAACTCAACAAATTTCTCTTTTTTATCCTTTGCAGTACCCCCAGCAGATTGTCAACGTCTCTACCTCCTGACCTTGCATGTGTTATTCCTTTTATTGATAGGTTCCAGGTATGTATGAAGTTTTACCTCTTAATTTCTTGCGTTCTTTTCTGAACCAATTGCAATTTATGGGCCATAAGATAATTGATTCAACAGTTAACACCCATAATCTATGTGCTCGAGGATTCTTACCAAGATTAGTTGACTTGTGGGTCTCACGATCCTGCAATATCATGTGTAAATTTTTTTGTAATTTTTGTAGACTTTCACATATGTCGAAGTACTCAGATTCTTGCTTTGCAGTCTATACTACCTCCACATTTGATGGCAACATCAGATTTCAATACTTTAGATAAAGTGTAGAAAATCTTCTCGTTTATCTTTTTGCGAGTTTTGTCTTTCTTCTCTGTAACTGGTCTGCATATTTAGATCCCTTATGTATTTTTCAACGAAATTTAGTTTGCCATTTTCTCCTAGGAGTGCTGGTTGACGGCAAATTATTCTGTGCGGACGTCGAACGCTGTCCAGAGACCAACCATAATACGTCACGTCACTCGCGCTCGGTAATGCGGCTCGCTACCGCGCTCGATACTGTTGACGTGGTGCATTTTGGTTGGTCTCCGGACGGTGAACTGCGTTCGGCGTCCGCACGTGATAATTTCTCCTGGTTGACATGAAATGCTGTTATGTTTGTTAAAATAATGGTCTAAGTTCCTATACAGTTCCAAAGCTGCAGCTTTTTGTAACTTTGATTAAAGGTTCCTATATTGCCGACTATTTCTGTGAGAGAATTTAACAAGATGCAGTTTCTTTGCAGTCATGTTGTTTATTTTTCCTTGTTCTAGTTCCTCAGTTCATGTCTGTCATTAGAAACCTCTCCTTGAACTTGCTACACTTAAAATAGCATCTTGATGCATAAGCTTTTATCTAGCATAAGTTTATACATTGATATTTTGATAGTTAGATTTCTGTTGTCACTGAAGTTAACTATTTTCTTTGTTAATTCTCCTTCGTTTTTCAGGTTGGGACTTTTTTGCGAGCTATGCAGAAGCAAATCAATTCTGCTGGAAAACGTGGGTTTTTCTCAAAAAAGTCTGTAGTTTCTACAGTAAATGAAACGTTTACGTTGGAAAATATGTTATCCTTTCAAAAGGTAGTACTTTATCTTGTTTGCTAAATTTTATGTTTCATTATCAACGATTTCTTTTTGTTCTTGTTTACTGCTTGCATCATCACGTGAATTTTCAATTCTGTTGGCTCTTAGGAGTCAATAAACACTGCATTTCACACTATTAATTGCTGTTCTGTTAATGATTGCCGAGAGATCTCTAGAGGAACACATATATGTTGAAACATTACATGTTATAGTGGACTAATGCTTTGGGTTTTATCCTCCCTATTGCATGTGCAGGATCCCATTCCAACTTCCTTGCTTAAGATTAATGGAGATCTTGCAAGCCGTTCAGTTAAGATCTTCCTGATGATTCTGAAGTACATGGGGGTTGATTCATCAGACAAAGCAATTTTATTAAGCATGGACGAGCGAATTGATCTTGTTGCTAAGATTTATAAACAAACTTTGAAGCGGCCTGAGCTACGTGATGAAATTTTTGCTCAGATTTTGAAGCAAACTCACAATAACCCGGATAAGTAATTATTTTTAGAAAAGCATGGAGATAGTAATGAAGACATATTTCCCGTGGTTATAGTATTTTTCATATGCATCTCATTTTGTAGGAGCTTTCTGATAAAGTCATGGGAGCTCATGTATTTATGTGCCTCTTCCATGCCTCCGAGTAAGGATATTGGGTCACATTTGTCAGAGTATGTGCACAATGTTGCTCATGGGCCGAAAACGGAACCAGAAGTTCAAATCCTCGCATTAAACACTTTAAATGCTATGAAAGGCTCAATGAAAGCTGGACCAAGGCTGACAATTCCTGCACGTGAAGAGATTGAAGCTATGTTGACTGGTAAAAAGCTTACAACTATAATATTTTTCTTGGATGAAACTTTTGAAGAAATTTCATATGACATGACCACCACGGTCAATGATGCTGTCCAGGTACTTGCAAAACTTGTTCTTCTCCACAATCTTTGGTTTTGCGTACTATGTTACTTGCAAAATTATTTTAACATGGGTTGCTTATAAACTTTTGTGGATATCAATGGAGACTTTATTGTTTAGGAGAGGGTAAATATTTTCTTCTTGATGGTTTATGGTCTAGTTAGGAAATTCATTTCACAAATTTTGCTGAGGAGATAATTTCATACTATCAAGCTAACAGCCATTGAATTCTAATCGAACTTCTTTTATCTGACTATAGAAGAGAATTTAGGGGTTGGTTTGGATGCCGGCATGTTAGAAGAAGAGGCATTTCCCATTTCTTAATGTGCTTGATGAAGCACTTCTACAAAGGCTGCTTCGTTGTTAAGTAGGGAAGTGAAACTTTTACTTCCTATTGTTCGAGTGGGCAAGAAATAAAAATGACTTATAATTCAGTAATATTGTCATTATATCTATATAAATAAACTACTATCCTTTTAGAAAGATATTCCGTTTTTGTTTCATATCTTATACCATCCATCATATATTTTGAATAACAAGGATTTAAAATAAATAAAAGATAAATTTTATCTATTAGTCATGGAGGGTGAAAGATTTGGAAGGAATGTGTCAAATTCTTCTAATAGGATGATAGGATCATAAAATTTTTTAATGACTAAGATTTAAAGTAAGTAAAAATTGATGACAATGTAAAAAGTAATTTATAGTCATTTTTTTTGTTACTTTAAAGAAATTTATGTCTGGAGAACTGACTCTATCCTTCTAAAAATATAGAGCATAGGGAGGAGTTCAAAACCTCTTTCATTCTTTTTGATACTATTCAGTGAAAGGTGTAGATGTGACCTCTCACATGTCTTAATAAAGATGTTGTATGGTACAATAGTTATTTCATGATTTAGTTGTTGTTCAGTATGATTCATGACTTATAGACTTCACGCAGTTGAATGTAAATTGGGTAGCATAAAGATTGAGATTAGCTTGAAGCTTTTCTTCAGCTATTATTGCGGCTTATCTTTTACCATATCAGATTGGATCTTTATAGATGTTAAAAACTGATTTTAGGGTGGTTAGAGAATGATATTGTCACAATCCTCCCTTTGGGCTCGGAAGTTTTCAACAGTAGTTTGATAGGATATAATGAATTGATAAATTTAATGTTAATCTAATTAAATCTTGGAGTCTCTTGTTCATTGCGCCATTGATCTTTTTTTGTTTTTGTTTGTGGCATTATATTTTCTTGGGTGAACTCTTCTTGAGTTTTGGTATTCTCATTTCAACACAATCAAGGTTTATAAGATAATTACATCCATTTAATATATTGATAATAATCTACATATTTACATCAACTTATCTATTTTATGCCTCCACCCCTCATGGTCACTTGGTCCTCCAAGTGATACTCAAGACAACTAGATAACTCTAATAACTTAAGCTACGGTATATACTCACGTTTGTGATCCATCAACAAAATGTCAATAAGAGCTCAGAAGGTGGATCTTTTAAAAGCATCACAATGCCAAATATATTGCATTAATATGAATGGACTCAATTATGCAAATATTATGTTTAATCCTCTAAAATTGTAAGTTCCTATTTCATAATATCACATGCAAGCCCTTCAAAGTGATCCCCCAATATTTTATAATAATAAGATAACCAATTTTAACACCAGTCACATAAATTGCCCATAATATCCTTCACAAATTTCACAAGTAGATCTTAAAGTTTATTATGTATTAACATCTATAAATTCATAATCATTCCTAAATAAATCTCTCTACTAAGACTAAGCCTAGTAGATTGGATTCAAAGCTCTTATATCAATTGTCAGAGCCCACGTAACCTATTGTGCTAATTTACAGTTGTAATCAATGTTTAAAATTGTGTAATTGGGTATTGAGATATTTTTTTGTTCGTGAGGCATAAGCTTAAAAAAAAAATGTGTAAAATGAAAATAAAGGTTAACAGTGATTTTTTTATATAATACCCAAATAATATGTTAAATGATGATATTAACTTTCTATTGAACTATAAATTAACAAATTGATATATCTATGAAACAAAAAATTACACAAGACGTATAGTGATAAGTGATAAACTGTGTGAAATTGAATTGAAATCCAAATATTAAAATAACAAAACAATACTAAATATAGAAATTGCATAAAAAATATCATATAACATTAAATTTAACTCCAAATTTCTTCTTTTTCAGTTCCCTACTTATCCACGTTTAATTCATAAAGAAAATTGAAATAGTTGGCAACAACTCAGAAATCATTTGCACTGTCTTTACTGAGGGGGTTTTTATTTGAGTCATCATCATAATAAATTGGTCTCTCCCTTGTCTCATTCTGTGCAGTCTAAATGCATCCTAATATGCTTATTCTTCGTTTATTTTAGCCATCTTCCTTTTTCATAAATGTTTTTCATCAACATTAAGATGAGATTAATTCTTCAAAATTGTTAGAGGTGTTGATGGTGTGCTGCTTTCAAGAGATCCCAAGCAACAACTATGACGGTGGTGGCTGTCGAGAAGGTGACAGGCTGTAGGTCGAGGCAAGTGAGAGGAAGTTGTTACGGCTTGGGGGTGCATGAATGTGTGATTTGTTCGGGGCTTTTATTTAGACTTTAGGTAAATTTTAATAAAAAATTTATTTAAATATGGTCGGTTGTAAGCCTCATGCCAGCAAAGCGAGGCAAGCCTCATAAAAAAGCTCAAGGCATTAGCCTTGAGTCATTTTTTACTAGAATGGCGCTAACACGGCCTCAAGGCAAGTTGTGATAAGTATGATGCTTGGGATATCCTAACATAGTTATCTAATTTAAAACGTTGCATCTTTGATCATGATGTTTTAAATATTTACAGCTTCATGATTGCCGTGCCCTCTAAATTGTAAAAAGTCTCTTATGTTGCCTCTCACCTCCAACTCCTCCAAAACCAAAAACTTCACATTGTGGCACTATTGTGCAAATGCAGTTTTCTTCTGTTTTTTTTTGTTCTTCTAAGGACTTTGTAATGCATCGCCATGCTTATGTTATTACGAGGAAATTTTAGAATCGCTTCATTTTTCATTTTTATTGTGTCATTTCTATTCTTTTGTTATATATATGTTACTCATGGACAATAATTTTATTTAGGAGCTTGCAAGCATAATCAAACTTACGACCTATTCCAGTTTTAGCTTGTTTGAATGCAGAAAAGTTGTACAAGGCTCAAAATCTCCTGATTTTGGTAGCGGTAATGTTTATATATTTATCCTGTACCATTCCTCAAGCCCCAATTAACTTTTCTCGTAATTCAAGCTTATGAAAGCAGTTTTCTAACTAAGCTTAGTCATGCTTCTCAGAGGAATTCATTTGGTTAGATGATAATAAATATATCGGAGATTTATTGGCTGAATTTAAGGCAGCCAAAGACCGCAGCAAAGGAGAAATTTTGCATTGCAAACTAACATTTAAGAAAAGACTATTTCGGGAGTCTGATGATGCCGTTGAAGATCCCATGTTTGTTCAATTGTTATATGTTCAGGTATGTGCGCTTGGACTCTCCAGAATACACCACATGTACCCTTGAATAATTTGATATCGTTGATCTCTGTTGTATGATGTGATATATTTACCTTTTTTGGCAGTTACAACATGACTATGTTTTGGGAAATTATCCAGTTGGTAGGGATGATGCTACTCAACTATCCGCTCTTCAAATTTTAGCTGAGATTGGATTTGTTGACAATCCTGATTCATGTGTGTGAGTACCAATTAATTTTTATATTCCATAGTGGTTATCAAGCCTTCCCTTTTTTGTATATTCTTTACTAATACAATCTCTAAACATTGGTTATCTTTACAGTGAGTGGACGTCTCTGCTTGAAAGATTCTTACCAAGACAAGTTGCGGTGACAAGGGCAAAGAGAGACTGGGAGCTTGATATACTCTCTCGTTATAATTTAATGGTAAGAACAAAGCGTTGCATCCAATATAATGGTAGTATCACAGAAACCTAAACTTTACATATTCTGTTTTTTTCTCATTAATCTTTTTTAACCCAATATATTTAAGGATTCATGTCATGATTAGCTTTTAATGATTTATATGATAAAGTAGATACTAAGGAGGGCGAAAGATATATGTACAAGTTAGCCAAACAAAGAGATATGAGTAGTAAGGACTTAGTGCAAGTGAAGTGCAATAAGGATGAAAATCAAAAAGTACTTTTATTTGAAGATGATATTCAACAAAGGTAGTTGAGATATTTTGCTAAACTTTTCAATGAAGATTATGAGAATATGATTGTTTTAGTTGGATTACATCAAGGATCAGTCTTAAGCCCATATCTTTTTGTTTTAGTCATGGATGTTCTCACTAGACATTTGCAAGAAGTTGTACCCTGGTGTATGCTTTTTGCTTATGATATTCTTTTTGTTTATTAGACTAGAGAGGGAGTTGAAGGTAAACTTGAATTATGGAGGTCAACCTTAGAGCCTAAAGGTTTTCATTTGAGTATATCTAAAACTGAATATATGAATTGTAATTTTAGTAGTAACAGATTTTATGGAGGGTTTGTGACTTTGGACGATCAAGTCATTAATAAGAGTACATGTTTAAGATATCTTGGGTCTATTGTTCAGAATGATAGTGAAATAGATGGGGATATTAATAGCAGAATTCAAGTTGGATGGTTAAAGTGGAGGAATGCATCAGGCTTGTTGTGTGATAAAAAGCCCCCCTCAAGCTTAAGGAAAGATTCTATAAGATGGTGGTGAGGCCTGCAGTGCTTTATAGTGCAGAATGTTGGCCATTAAAAGAGAAGCATAACATTAAGTTAAGTGTTGCAGAAATGAGGATGCTCAGGTGGATGAGTGACATTACACTTAGAGACATGATACAAACTGGGCATATACATGAAAAGGTTGGAGTAGCTACAGTGGAAGATAAGATTAGAGTGAGTCGCCTTAGATGGCTTGGTCACATAAAACGGCGGCCTTCCGATGACTCGGTTAGGAAAGTAGATGTATTAGATTTGGCTTATGTTAAGAAAGGTAGAGGTAGACTTAAAAAGATTTTGTTACAAGATATTAGAAATGACTTTTTTTTTAGATTTAAATGAAAATTTGACTCTTAATAGGACATAATAGAGAAAAAGAATTAATGTAGCTGACCTCACATAGTGGGATAAAAATTTGATGTTGTTGTTGTAATCTTTTTTTAATTAATCTATTATCACATCACACATTTCTTCATTCACTTCCCAGCTAGCATTATTAATTAAATATATGTTTTGGTTGAGCTATTACCTATTATGTCCATTTTTCGTTCCACAAGTTGTAATACTACACATTTTAGTGTGTTGACCCGTAATAAACAAAAAAAAAAATCAATCAAATCCCTTACCTGCCTCCCCACGTCGCACGATCCAGCGCCGCTCGTCGCACGTCGAAGCCATACCGAGCGTCGCGTCTCGCACGTCGCTCACACGACTCACTCGAGTCGTTAAAAGGGCTCAAGGCAGCGAGGCCTTCGGCCTCTACTCTTCTCCCGCTCCAGCTCTCCTTCTGAACTCACTCTCTCCCGATCTCCCCCCTCCGACGCCGCTCGACTCTGCTCTTTCAAGCGACTCGCCCTTCCAGTCGGATCGGACCTTACGACAGTTTGATCGGAAGCAATTCGGGAGCTCGCCGGTTGTGAAGACAATTGTCTACCCTTTGCGCGCTCCTCCGGCTCCTTCCTGGTTGTTCAACTACACTCCTTTGCCGACTTTTCCTTCCAGTCGGACCGGAAGGTGCGACATTTTGATCGGGAGTGAGAACAGGAGCTCGCTCGGCCGTGAAGTTAACTTTCTACCCTTCGTGCGCCTCTTCTCCCCCGCCCGACACCGCTCCTTCCACGACTTCCTCTTGCTGTAGGATCGGAAGTTAGCATTTTGATCGGGGCCAAGAACGGGAGCTCACTGGAAGTGTAGGTAATTTTCTCCCTATCACACGCTTCTTTGGCCGGATCCCGTGAACAGAGAAGAAGGGTGGGGATTAGAAATATTTTAATTAATATTAATTAATAATAATTA